AGTAGATTTACTAAAATTTATAGCATTAAAAGATCATTTAGTGCAACTCGAAAATAACCTATGGACTTCATGAAAATTTTTGTAATGGATAAACAAACATGAAATTTGGCCACATTACATTTTGTAAGTTTGAATATTACAGAGCTACAACTGTTTCCAGCCCTTTTTTTTTGAAAAGTAACATGGTTACGACACGAATTTCTAATGCCACGACAGAATAATAATAATAGTACCATTAACTTATACGACTATAAAAATAAAATACATGCACTCGTGTGAAGAAATTTGTTTATATAAAAAAAATTATATCATGGCAAATTCGGGGAAAATATCTAATTGCTGAGGTCATCGGAACGGGGCATGTGGAATTTGAAATCGCGGCAGACGAATCTTCTGAGAGTACAGAGCATTACCAACATCGCTTCGAAACTTTGAGGTTATATATTTTAATACGCTATTTCCATTCACTGTAATAACAAGTAAATAAATACCATGAATCAGAACGAGAGTAGACACGGAAAGAACTTTCGAAACGACAAACAAGAGAATAAGTCTCGTATATTGAACTTAAATGTAGGTAACTCCATCTGTATGTAGAGTTTCTGCGTGTACATTGAAACTATTTTACGTACATTTTCGGTAAATTTATTGCCCTAGGGCATGGGAAGGTTTGAACAAGAAGAAAGGAATTTGTTACTAAAGTGGCATGCACAGTATTATGGACCACTTAAAAGACTGCAAATAACTTGCCCCCAGCATACCAACGGATAAGAATACAGATCCCGCAATTTCTATTTTTAAAAAAGCGTACTGAAAACTAGGAATATCTTGACTAATCATGTGAAAATCGTAAGGAATTTTGAGACATCAATGTTAAAAATGTTTCGGCGAGGAATGTGTTACTGCAGACTTGTTAAACAAGGAAAGAAGTTGGGTAAAATAATTTAGAAATGTACAAGAGAAAAAAGAAAGAACACAACACAATTGTGGCATGCATACAGTAACCTCTCTTGACAAAACAAATCGTCTCTCATTCTAACAGTCAGCTTGAAATATCGAAGGTGATTTCCTCGATTCCCAGATGGAGCTGAATCCTGAGAAAAACGAGGATGGGAAAGACGAACATATAAAGTAGTGAAATCAAGGCTATCTATTTACCATGAAACGTCACGTACTGAAATCCCCCCCCTCAAACGGGGAGGGGTTAAATGCAACAAAAACTGCATCGATAATTCAGATCTGAAACTGCGACATAGAAATCAGTCGACATACGAAAACCGGAATACATTTTTCTCTGTTGTGTCGCGACATTTAGCGTTCTGATTGGTGGTTGTGTCACAGAGGTAGAATGAAGACAAGATGACAACACGCCACACAGAAGTAGCTGTCAAATTTGCATCGTCTATCGTCAAAAGGGAGACAACGCACTGCATTGCACAGCACACAAGTCTGTTTGTTAAAACCGTGGTACAACAATGCTCAGAGTTAGTGGTCAACAATGTGGTGAGCGGAACAATTGAAACACTTCAAAACTCCGCCCTGGCTGTACGTTAAACAATAACGATGTACGTGAATGGATTGAACTGGCTCCGGTAACGGGATGTTGTGAACAGCAATGAACATTTTAGGTCCACAACAAATGGATTGTTGTTTTTTTTTTTCAAAGGATGAGCTACTTATAAGCTTTTAGAGAAGGACTTGCACTTGTGTTGTGCCCGTTAAAAACAGAGTATAAAAAAGTATATCTTAAATTTACTAAAATTATTAATAAAAGTTCGAGACGAAACAAATACCAGGTCTATAATAAATATTCTTACCACTTAATTAGATGTAGTACCATCACTCTAGTAGCTAAAAGACTTCGACTCGACCCTGACTTAAGACTGAATGAGCCTCAACGTTGCTCTGAACGTGGTAGGTTAGAAAAACAAGTCACTGTCCCCGGCCGGAACAGAACACCGGTCTTCCAGGTTATAGAGAGGTCATACAGAATGACCTGTGCGGTTCACATACACGAGTTAATCAAAGTATAATGACCTGTCTGTGTTTTCATTTGACAAATAAATAATATGTTTGTCATTTATGTATAACAAAATTCACGTCTTTTATTTTCATATTAACTTGTTAGGTTATGTTTTGTAGTTACCGGCAGATATTAATTCCCACGTCGCAGAAGAAACACTTCAAAGTAGCGACGTTGTTATAGTTGCACTTGTAATTCCTCCTGAGAGAATAACAAAACAAAGCTAAAGAAGGCCTGAGTATTAAAGAAAAACTTCACAAACCCGTTTCGAGACGAAATACGACCTTGGAACGCAAAGCAACAAGTGTTCCACATGAAGGTCGAACACGTATGCCTCGCGCGTATCGTATCGATTGGTCGATACTAATATGTTCGACCACTCCTCGCTTTGTGCGTGATTAACATCGGATTCTATTTCACTTTCTTGATTGTTCCTGTAAACTCTCACTTTATTCAAGACTAACACAAAGTCAACAAATTAATTACGAGAAACTAATTCTAATTAATCAAACTGTAAACATCTAAAAAGTAATTTTGCTGCATTATTTAATACATTGTATCAACTACACACGTTACGGTGGGATAGTAGAAAACTTATCAGAAGGGTACAGCCTCAGAAGTGATAGATAGTTAATATAATTTATATTAATACCTCTTAATATTTGCCTAGGAGGTCAGAGGTTCTTCGTAATCTGCTAGGCTGCAGATTAAACGAGGGGGTTACGCAATTCCAAATTAAATATAACAGGATAATAAATCGTAAATCGTGATCGAAAAAAGGTCGTGGTCTATTTTAAGGTGGTATATTATACTGCATGAGCCGAGACCGAGAACCTTGTTTCAGCGGTTTCTTTGCACGAAGAGCATAAGTGAACGTAAGTGGGAAATTGCATCTGTACGCTTTATTAAGTTATACCTTCAAAACTACTGAACTCCCCGAGATGAAATTTGTTTCTGGTTATCCGCATTAAACGTTGCCGTGAGAGAGTTAAGTTTTAATTATCGTCGATATTACAACTCTTACACTGTTCTTCCCAAGTTTTATCTTGTGTTTCTATCGTCTAACCAGATAATAAATATTTTACGGCGATATGTCGTAAAAGCGGAGATCACCTACGTTAGACTTCATTATAGTTTCATAATAAGACATTTGTTTGTGAAATGTGAAAAATTCTACATTCTTCATAAATAATAATGTTTATGATGGAGGATGTCATTTCGTAACTGAACACGATACTCTCTTGAACGCAGTGTACAGAGCAAATTGTTTGCATAAAATGGCATTAACCTTCATCGGATTTAATTTTAATGCTTAACGGTGCATTTGAATCGCCACGTACGTTGGCTACCAGGTGTTCGCTTTTAAATTACGTATAGGGATTCTCTGTTCTGAGGCTTTCGTGGGAGCAAATAGAGGGTTGAAGTTTATCGAAGTTTGACTATACTGTATTGAGGGCCTGGGGAATTTAAGTTTAATCCATATTAGTCTAATAAGCCACAACACCGACTGAAATGTTCTCCAAAGCGGCTCTTATGTAAACAGAAGGACTTTTCGACCTTACACCGACACCAGCCAACTGCAGAACCAGACATGGAGCCTCTAAGTCTACGTATTCCTGGTTTCAATTCAATACAATTCGATTAGTTTAATAAACGTACAATATCGATTATTCTGTGTATTATCAGGTAAATTTCTTTCGATCCGTTTCCCTCCGTTGATAGATATGAACATAACCTTAAAATTGACGAAACTAGTCGTAATGCATATGCACATGAGAGGACCCTACCCTTACCCTAACTAATTATGAGGCACACTGGATCACGAAGGCACACGTGCCCCCCGGGTGCAACACGGCTCGACACACGAAGAGGATCATAACAGAACACAAAAAAAAAGAGTCCCCTCCGGTTCCCACTAAACCGGACCTGCCTGAGGTTCTGTACTACCGGTGTGAATAACATCATAAATACTTATGGACGACCTTGCCACATTCAGAAAACAAAACGACTTCAGCAGTCACAATCGCTGCACAATATGGAGTCGATCTCTTCGGGCGATGAGGCCAATAGTGGTCTAAAGGAATTTATCTTCATCACGTTCTGAATGCCTGTGGATCATACAGCATCCTATCCGGCGAATATTCAATATTAATTTGCATATAGGACACACATGGAGGTGTGTATATGGGCAGGGATCGAAATGGACCAATTCAGAGTAAAGATAAAGAAGGGGTGAGGTCTGGGTTGCGTTATTGTTCAATCTCTTCTGGAAAGTATGCGATGATGACGTCATAGTTGAAAGGACATGCGAAATCTCACAGGACTAGGAAAGGTAAGGCAAATTATAAAAACGATGAAGGAAAGCACGGATATTTGTGTGACAGCCAGAAAGTCAGGAGGGCTAAAAAAAACAAAAATAAAACAGAAACACTTTCACCTAGTTAAACAATATTTTATATCTGAAAAAGAGTGCTCTATATTTACATTTCAAATAATGCAATTCTATTGCTGGGTTAACAGAAAAATATGAATAAAAATGTTAGGATTTGAAAATAAATATGACTATAAAGCCAGAGGAATATATGACATATAGATGGGATACTATAAATTATTCATAAAAAATTCTCTAGTTGAACTCTGCTAATACCAAAGCCTGCCACCTGATAAGGTCATGAACCAGTTACGACTGTCACATTATTCGTAAGAAATTACAGATTAAACAGCACTTACAAAATTATGTTGTCCGTCAGAGAGACAGGAAAAGAAAATAATAGCTGCAGAATTCTTCAGTCACTACAAAAAAAAAACATTTTTTCCATTTTGGACAGGGGGCATTAACGTATTCATTCTGAAGGTTACACATATAATAACAGGGGGGAGAAGTCCTCAGAAACATTGCACTTATTCCAAATGTAGAAATATGGATACGAAGGATTTTTGTTTGATTTGCTTCAGAATTATATAAAAACAAACAATATTACAACGTGTACAGAATTTATCTTTCAAAAACTAAACAGCACACAATACAAAACCATAGTCTGAATCGTTAAGCAGAAATTAAGACAATCACAAACTCAAACTACCTATTACAAAAATGTTATATCTTTAGCGAAAAAGTATCCAACAGATATCAGAATTTTTAATTCTGCTCTATATCACATTAGAGAGGAGCAAATATTTATCTTTAGCTTAAAAAGCAAAGGGATTTGTATTTTGGACTGTGCCCCCATTAGACCACGTTCAAACAGTTGGATCATTGCTGTAAAATTACTCTCATTCTCTCATGATGAATTAAGTTCTATAAAAAAAATCCCTACAGCATCGTAAATGTCAAAAGTGGAAAATGTTTTAAATTTTAAGGAGATGAATATATAAATCAGGCACAGGCAAATTACATATAACACTGTGTGCCATCAACATAAATCTGTGATACTTGCACATTGTAAATCATCAATTACATTAAAATATAAGTTGGATAAGAAAACGCTATTTTATTCGCTGGAAGTTTTCAGCAACGAACACGGAACTCAGTCATAACACACGCAAAATGCTGTTAAAATTCTGTAACAACGAATGGAATTTGAAAGAACGTGGATTTGAACACAGACAATTTAGAAAATATTTAAAACCCTTTATCATCTCCACTAATTTAAGAATGTGGTCTCATTTCGGTCACAGCCTTTATACAAAATAAATTACGAAACACAACGAAAGAAAAAATAATTTTTGTGACAACAACCTTGCAACTTAATTATGATTCTAATGCAAGAATGAAGACGAATTACGTAATTTTAAAAAGTGGATAATCTTCACATCTTTGTGAAACTACAAACATCATAAACCAATCGTATTCCATCCACGTAACAGCGAGACAAGTTAGGTGTCTCCCAGAAGTTTCTTATGGTAATCATTCCACCTCTGGATTATTAACTTCCTAGGAAAGAGAACAGTAGAATTAAGTAAATTCATCCTCCACCCCTTTTGTACCTTCAAATCATCCCCTGTCTCTCATTACTTCTCAATTTCTTCCACGTCTCAGTATCCTAGACCCTACTCACCTTTGCTACCTCATCCCTTTCAGGTGCACCTACAAATCTTCCTTCTACGTAATTTACAACCTCATCATGAGTTATTTTTTAATTTTGCTGGTTTTCATTTAATGACACTTGAACAGTCAAAGCCCTTATGGAAGTACCTGAAGACATATTCCGCTGATTTAATGGAAGTACAAATTTTCATAAATGGCCAAATCCAAATTATCTGAATATACCAAATTTCTTTCTTAAGTAACTTCAAATACTCGCATTAAACACGATTATTAAGTAAAGTTGTATTTTTTTTTTCATTTTTCTTACTCCTGAAATATTACAAGCTTCAATTTAAGTAATGTTACTTTTACTGTTATATTTAAAAATCGATTACTATTGAACATTAGCCAGCAAAGAAATTTTCCAAGGTTACAAATTTTAATTTAAATGTGACTAATCTTAAAATTTTAGGAGACCGTTATACTAGCATGCAGGACTGTGTTAAGAAAAGCCGATGAATTCAAACCTTCACCCATAAATTTACGACGCAGTAAATATTCAAACCTTCACCCATAAATTTACGATAAATGTAAAATCTAAAAACGTCTTTCCGTCCCCCTTTCCAAAGCAAGATCTTGTTACTTAAAAAATGCCAAAAGAGGGCATTTTAAAGGCATAATTTCAAGATGAGTGATGATAATAAAATTAAGAAGACAAGCTGAATGGTAGTAAAAATACATTTCTTCCCTACAAAAACACCAAACATTTTAAGTTATACATTCGAAGGGTTTAATTAAATTAAGCTTCGAGAACGAGCGTCAGAGATCCATGGCAGCCAGGGCAAGGATTTCCTCGCAGACTTTCTTGTAGCACCATGTGTCACCATTGAGTCTCTTGCGCAAGATGCCTACCATGGGCTGCTGAAGAGACGAACACCCAGAACCAACTGGAATCAAGCAAACCTCCAGTTCGAAGGTCAACTTGCAGTTGTAAATTTTATCTGTGCCCTTCTGACTAACGGATCCATCTGCCACTTGTTCCACTTTCCCACGCAATGTAAATCTAAAATATAAGAATGATGAATGCAGTGTTTATACAATCAGAAAAATCATTGGTCTTAAGATTATTCTTAGAAGTAAAATTCTTTATGTTATGGATGTAACAACGTTGCTATGAAGCTTGGCTCCGATTTCGTGACCCACTTTCTAAATTTGTATTTGTAAATCTCAATACGTAACTAATATGTTGTGACCTTCCACCTGCGCTCCGAATTCTCCATATATCATTCTTACATTAAAGTCGCGTTTCGAAGCTCCGGTGATTCATATAAATCGCTCAGGTACAGACAAGCTCTTTCGGCCTGAAGTCGATAACTCTTCTGATGTTTTCAGCACCTCTCTGCAATACATCGACGAAGCTCTGTTAAACTTTCTTCCAATTAGCTTCAGTCGTATGACTCACTGTACAGCAAATCAGAATATTCTTCGAGGCGAAGCTTAACAACATCGTTTTCATCAGCTTTCAGGGATGAGCAACGTCGAATGATAAAAGTTTCGTCAAACACTGCAGTTGCCATCTTCAGGGTAAACATACAATGGCTGAGGATTTGGAAGTCTTCTCATCTTCAGGGTAAACATACAATGGCTGGGGATTTGGAAGTTTTCCTTTTAGGAAAGGTAGTAGGCGGCAAGTGGGATGTGGCGAATCAGATTCGATCTGGCTGAAAACACGAGATACAATAAAATACAAACGTTGTTCTCATTAGATATGCAGCCGAAATCGGTTTCGAAATTATTAAAGTGGCTCTCGTTCAAAAAAAAAAAAACTCGCCGCTGGTTTTAAACGAATTAAATGCATCTGGACACAGATAGGTATCATAATTCGCAGATGTCAGTGTAAAGGATTTACATGCCAAGATCAAAACGTACAAACAATTCCAGGCCTGTACTTCATAATACCTATACGTAATTTAAAAAGTTTATCACTCCAGCCTAAATTCATATATAAATTATATGATAAAATTTATGGAAATTTTTTTTTTAAAAAATCAGTAAACCTGATTTCTAAAAACGCTTCGAAAATCGTTTTTCGTTTCGTGAACTTTTTAAACTTGTACAACCTTACCCCGTCATTGGATAAATTTTCACGATGTTTAACGTGATTATTAAATCCGGTGTCTCGCTCTGGAAGTAAGAGAGCTACGAAACGTGAGACAGCGAGAAAATAAAACGGAGAAAATTACACAATGAATATATTTATATTTCATTTTCTTCATCCAGTAATATTACGACTAAAAACTGCTAAAGAATATGATGCAGGCCGACACGGCACAAAGCACGAACAAATTAATAACAAAATGCGCACAAGAAGTGTTAAAAGACTTATTGAAAGAGATGTAGTGGCCCGCGCGGGACTCGAATCCATGATTCCAGTGTTCGACCTCACCAACTCCGCGCTAGTTTAGAATACGCGTCCACCGGAATCGAACACTGGACCCCCCCCCCCCTCTTATGGGGCGCTACACTTCGAATCGGGCGTCATTCAGACAGGCGGCACTGTTCCTTAGTTGAGGGATCAGGGCTTCAGAAGTGCAACGTGGAGATATCAAATCTAAATCAGGATTCGTATTTCAGACACTGAATTATCCCGGCTTAGGGACCAGGATATACGCGCATGCGCAAGATTTCGCGGTGAGTGACGACCCATCCTAAAAGCATTCGTTCCACAACCACTGAACGAACAACAGACGACAGGCTTTCATGTGTTCTAATGGGTACAGCTTTAAGATTACCTCACAGGATATTATCACAACACCCACAGAACACATTAGAGGTGCACGCACTACACGATACTCGTAACTGCTTGATGTTTTCAGTCTGTGTGTAGTAGCCTTAAACTCTGACGTATCAAACTTCCCACCAATAGCAGCCCTCTAGTCCAGCTGATAAGTAACATTCCCCCCGCTCCGCACCAGAAACGACTTCCCACAGCAGGGCTTTTCTCGTGATCTGTGGACAGTACGTTGCACATAATAACTTGGCTCGGTAATTCTTCGATTAGCCTCGTCACGTGAAAATAAGGCCCGCTACAAACCACATAAACATCCTTCCGATATAGAACAGAAGCCAAATTACAGAACAGACCACTACAGGATGTGGGGACTACAACGGCGACGTCAAACCAAGGCAATTTTTTGTTATACAAACGGATATGATGATCCGTACCCAAAAAAGTAAACATGCCTGATTTGGTACAGTGTGTTAGAGGCGGGGCAGGTACTCCTGTAGCAGATGATCGCGGGTTCATCTAAATAAATGGTTTCAACGTGAAGAAGCGAAACTCTGTTTCCTTGTTAAATAATCCTACGAAACGCAAAAAATGGCTAACCTCAGCTCCGAAGTGCAATTTCATGGTTGCTTCATTTCCGTTCTATTAACAGACCATGATTAAGTCTTAGGTGAATAGATGAGGATTCGGAAGGTGGCGGTCGCTGTCTATTTCAATTCGTATGAATGTACTGAGTAAAACTTCTAGTAATCTTTGAGGCAATGAACTTTAAAATGTGACTTCGGGATTATGCCTTAACGAAGTTCCATACAAATCCATATCGAGAAAGAGTGGTTCAAGCGACGTCTGTTTGTTGCATCCGAAAAGCATTCAGATGAAATATGAATAAAATACGGCGATGCAATGTGACACCAGGTCGTCGACTGGCGGCCACTTACGTAAGCAACCCCTTCGAGAGTATTGCCGGCTTACAACGAACTAAGTTTGCACCTGATATTTAATCCGTGTTCACAGCTATTCCATAATTCGTTCTTAGGCTATTTAATATTTAACTACATTCTCTCAACTGCAGAAGTTACACAGTGTCGAATGAGGTGGGAAGATATTAATAAACATATACCATTCTCCCGTAAATATCGTGTAGGCGAGAATACCACTGCTACGATAATCGATATTCCAGCTGATATTCAAGTCGATTACAAGTCTAGAGCGTAACAGGTACACCACACTGCTAGATACACTCCATAGTCTTAATTAACTAACTAACTAACTAACGGACAATCTCCACAGACTTCCAGCGACCGCGACTTTGTGTGATTTGCATGGTTCCCACAATTAGCGCACACAAAGCAGTCAATCAACATGCTGCAGCCCTCATCCATTCCAGAAACAGTGAACCTCCCTGCCATTAGTTAACAAGGCGGATGAAGGCGACATGTAAGTCGAGACACAACGCGTTAGCCTTGCCGCACTATAATGGTTTATAATTAAACTCATGCTGGGAGATGCTGCAGTCAACTAATAGACTTGTATTAGGGCCTCTACTGGAGGCTGCACACACTTTGTACTGCAGGAGCGACCAGTCAATGATGAAGGTGAAGTTAATCTTGCGCCTAGACACATCTTGAAGATCTGTGGGAGCGGAGGTCGGTACTGCGTACAGCTACGCGCTCCGGCCGCTTTGGAAAAGGGGAATCTGGCTCAGGCGATGAACCTTTGAGTTCCATAAAATGTTGGGGATTTGAGTGGCTGAGCGACTGTTTGCAGAGTTAATGATTCACTGAATAAGAAAAATAAATCATCAAAATAATTAATATCGATATACACTGCAAGTATATCAACTTTTTCATGGTAGGCTTTATGGATTTTGTATTCGTAATATTAGCCTAATGGCGGCTGAAGGAGGATAATACCCGCTGAAAGGTTTAGGTCTCCTCTCAACAGGCATAAATTAAGAGACAAATTTTCGGAGAAATCGGTAGCACTATAAAATACAAAGCCAAGTTCAGATTTGTGACTGCCATCGATAAGTAATCAATGATTTTTGCTACGTAAGTGGAAATTTTATTAAATAGACAATTAAATAACCTACATATCCGATTTTTGTGTAAACTATTTCTTAAGTGAAAACGTTTGCAGTTAGGCCTCCATTGGGTAAATTAATCTTGGTTTGGATCTAAAAGCTGAAAGTGAATACAGAAGAATCATCTTCACTCCACGGATTAGGCAATTTTCCTGTTCCTTCTTCGCAATATATCTCGCCATTTTTCCTAAGTCTCTCTTTCCTGAAGGTCTATGCTAAAGTGCTCTTTTCGAAATGAAAGGAATATACACCCTATAAATTATGTAATGCAAGATAAAAGAAGTGAGTAATTAAAGTACCTAATTATTATTAATTTCCAGCTCCTGATTTCCTCGCCAAATAGACTGAAGGACGTATTGAAACAAGAGGATTGCGGCAGGAGAGGATTCTTCAGTGGCGAGGAGCCTCTCACTGGGAGCAACCCTAAGTGATGAGGGACGGTAAATAAGTCATGCTCTTCAATTATTACAATGCAGATGGAAGTACGTGCTCCAGGAACGACACTTTATAACACAAATCCTAAAAAGTGCGGGAACGCCACGATCCGATCCAGTGCCACAAAATACCAACACTGCAGGAGTCTCCCCCCACCCCCCAATTTGTTCTGGAATTTCGACGAATTCTTCATTCGTATTTAAAAGATCCAGCCCAGTCCACTTGTTACCACGAATGAATGACTTAGTTTAAGCAGTCTTAACTAGGGCGGAGTGATAACATTTCAGACAGACAGACGGACGCATATAGAGGGAAATACAAGAATATAGGTATATTCTGTACATAGGCCGATGATTACTAATGGGCGTATTGCCACCAAGTGAAGAGGTAACACTGTTTCTCTGCAAAAAAATTTAGCCCGCTCCAAAAAGGTGTCACTGGACTTCAAATTCAAAACTTCACGCATCTTTGACCTCGGCAGTAGAAGGAGAAGTCGGTTTCACGCTCCGGCCGACATAACTTCAGGTGAAGGAGACAATGCCATCAACCTAATAGGTTTTACAGGCCTTAAGGTCATTAAACGCGGTAAAAGAAATTCTTCGTATAAATTTACATCGAACGACAGTCGTCCAGAGGAAAGATACGGACAAACTGAGGACGTTTCAGAACAAAGTACAGCTAAGAAAAATCTTGGACCCGAAGGACTCGGAAAACTACACGAGAAGATTCATAAATTGTACTCTTCACAAGTATTATT